TATACATATATAGATATTTATATATTTGAAGCCTAGTGATGTAACTTATGATCAATAAATATTTGTTAACTGAACAAATAAATGAAAAATGGATACATGAACAAAGTACAAAATCTCCCATGATAAAAACAAATGAAAGAGCATTACTAAAATACTCCTAGACATATTCTGTAGGGACTTAAAATTTAACATATCAATACTTGATGAAAAATACCTGTTTCATGTTATGTCTAAGATGTTTGATATGCAGACAGATAGTGAGGATAAGCTTAACAGCCTAAGTTGTATGATAATAACAATAAGCTTCTCTTCTGGAGGGTTAATAACCTAAGTCTGCAGACCAAAATTAGAGAAAAAGGCAGGCAACAAGGAAAGCCAACATTTTGGCCCTAGCCTTCCAAGGTCAATTAAGACTCAGGACATATGAAAACCTGTACTGTAATGTCATGTAACTCAGTAGTGTCCCAAATTTTCTGACCAAGGAGATTATGGGGCCAAAGAGGAAAGTGACCGATGATGTAGAGTGTGCCTAAGGAGAGTCACATGGAGAGAAAACATTCTCTCAGGTTTTCACAGAGAGCATATTGCCAAGCAATGGTCATGACTCATCCACATGGCTGACACTGACAAGGGATCTACAATCTGAGGTACAGGATCTCAGGATAAATCTTGAGGGGATTTCACTGACCTTATCAGATCCAAAAGCTACAAGTCTTGTTGCATAGGTCTGGCCCTATCTTGGTCTTAACCATACAGCAGAAAAGTATAAAAACAAAGTATAAGAAGTAAAGCCATACTGTTATGTTGAGCTGTAGGGGACTCAGGTCAACAATTTCTGACATTGCCAGTGAAGCGGAAGACCCAATACTATTATGGACTACTGGACTCTTTTAGAATATTTTGCTGACTTCACACACCTATAATATTCAAACAACGGAACTAAACAAAAAAGGGGATACAGATGAATGTACATTTTGTATCTGTGTATTCAAAATGGTTAGGACACATATATAGTTACATTCTCTTAATGAATAGAGGGATTTGTTCTAATAGTGTTTGTAAATAGGATATCATGTCTGCATCTTGTACAGCAAATTACCATTAGGAAAAGAGTATGCAATGTGTTAATTATTGAAACTGTCCTACCAATTTGATTTGAAACTGTCTCATTGCTATTTGTTTCTCAATAAAATTATGGAAAAAATAAAATAAGATGATCCTAGATTATTTTTTATTTGTGTGACCAAAGGCCATACAAGTAATAAGAAGAAACTACTCTTATGAATTTTTCAGAACTCCTTTGATCCTGCACATTTTAATTATTTATAAGAACAAAACAAATGATATTAATCTACTCACAAAAAAGGCACAACATTCTACACACTTTTTCTTCACTTCTACTCCCTTGATATTGGAAAAAGGATATTAACATTATGATTTTCATTCTTTACCTACTGGCATAATTATTCAAAGAAACAGCTTTTAAATGGTTTTTGTTTTGTTTTATTTTGTTGTGTTTTTTTTTTTTTTTTTTTCTTACCGTGGAACTAAGCAGTCAGCTCTCTGAAGAGTGGTGGCATCCAGCTCAAAAAGAGACGCGATGTCATTCCCATGCGGGACCGAGACGAGCGTATACATGATCTTCTCTCCTGCCTGGCGCTTTTTCTTTGAAGTTGGAAGGTCTCCATCTCTCTGCTGAGGAGGCAAAAGTTATTTACTTAGATCAGTTTGCTCACTAAACTCTCCAGTTACTCAGCATAGAAGGTTGAGTTTTATGTGTTATTTATTCACTGAGTTATACAAATGTATATTCCACAGTACCCAGAAGAAGTAGAGCTGGCTTAATATAGCATACTGTGCTGCTGAGATATGATGCCCGGCAGATTAGGAGCATTAAACTCACTTTCAAATGCGGATATTTTCAGCTTACAATGGGTTTATCAGAAGGTAACAGCTCTACAATGGAATGCTTTTTAAAAAAAGAAAGATTCTGCCATTTGTGACAACCAACATGAACATCAGGGACATTGTGCAACATAAAATACACCAGACACAGAAAGAAAAAAAAAAAAACACTGAGTGATCTCAATCACATGTGCAATCCTAAAAATAAAAGAAATGCATTAGAGAGAAGCAAGAAGAGCGTGGTGGTTACGAGGGCCGGAGTGGGGAGCAGGAAGATGAAGTTGAAAGGTATGAAGTTGCAGGTGTGTTGGGTGAATAACGATGGCACAAGGGCTATAGTTTTGATATACTGGAAATTTACACAGTAGATTGTAGGTGCTTTTATCATACATACAAAAAAAAAAAGTCACCATAGGAGCTGATTTGCTTGAGGACAGCAAGCATTTAACTCATACAGCATACCCTAAATATGCACAATTTTTTAAAAGCCAGAAAAAGAAAGTGGATAGTTGGGAGGGAAGGAAGGAAGGAAGGAAGGAAGGAAGGAAGGAAGGAAGGAAGGAAGACAGAGGGAGGAAGGAGGGAGAGGGAGGGAAG